TGAAGCGTCTTGGATTTTTTACGGACGTTGCGGTGGTTTCTGGTGGTTTCCGGACCTTTCGAGTGTATGGCGGGACACCCCGAAGCCCCAGGGGGATTTTTTTGGAAAACAATCAAAACCAAAAGCAAAAGAATCTAGCACGCTGGGCACCCCTACGGCAAGCCAACAGGGGGCGACGGATCGAAGATGCCTATTGCGAATCACCGCCGCCCTGGAGGCCCTGGAGGCCTCCAGACACGCCAAAAACATTAGTGTTTTTGGCCTTCTGGAGGCCTTCTTGGAGGCCTCTTGGGCCGTCTTGGGCCAGTTTCGAGCCAACTTCGGCCATCTTGGTGGGTTCCTGGCCCGTCTGACCCCGCCGGGGGCCGTCTTGCGGGCCTCTCTGAACTGACTTGTGGCCCTCTCGGGGCGCTTCGGGGCCGTCTTGGAGGCCATCTTGGGCGTGTTGGAGGCCTCTTGGGCCGTCTTGGGGCCTTCTTGGGGTAGTCTTGGAGGCCTCTTGGGCCGTCATGGGGCCCTCTTGGAGGCCTCTTGGGCGATCTTGGGGGCCTCTTGGGCCGTCTTGAACCGTCGGAATGCCGAGACGTGAGGAAAATCAATGATTTTGGCCTCTTCGGACCCTTCTGGAGGTCCTCTTGGAGGCTTCTTGGGTCGTGTTGGGCTGTCTTGGAGGCTTCTCGGGCGACCTTGGAGGTATCTTGGAATCTCTTGGGCCGTCTTGGAGGCCGTCAAGGACCAGGTTGGGCGGACTTGGGGGCCATCTTGGACCATCTTGGAGGCCATCTTGGGCCAACGTGGCCATCTTAGAGGCCATCTTGGACCATCTTGGAGGATTTTTTTCCGGATTGAGGTCCTTGGCAATCTTTCCGTGTGGCCGGCGGGACGCGCCGGAGGCCCAGGGGGAGTTCTTTTGGAAAAGAGTCAAAACCAAAAACCGAAAGGGTCTAGCACGCCAGGCACCCCTGTGATGCATCAACAGGGAGCGGCGGATCGAAGACGCCTACGGCGAATCACCGCCGCCCCCTGCCCTTGTGGAAGCGCCAATGTGTCCGACAGCTGGGCTAGAGCTTGGCCAAGCTATCGGACCATGTGTTCCCTGAGTCGGTTTGAAAAGGTTTCGGGGAGGAAGAGGAGAAGGAGGAGAAGGAGGAAAAAGGAGAAGGAGGAGGATGCCTCTTCGGAGCCTTTTGAGGCACTCTTGGGCTCGATTGGACCATCTTGGGACCGTCTTGGAGGCCATGTTGGGGCTATCTTGGGGGCTCTCTTGGGGCCTGTTGAAGGCCTCTTGCGGCCCTTTTGGGGGGTCCTCGGGGGCTTCTTCGGCCGTCTTATGGAGTTCCTGGCCCGTCTGACGCCGTCGGGAGCCGTCTTGGAGGCCCTCTTGGGGCGCTTCGGGTCCGTCTTGGAGGCCATCTTGGGCGTGTTGGAGGCCTCTTGGGTGGTCTTGGGGTCCTCTTAGGGCCGTTTTGGGGGCCTCTTGGGCCGTCATGGGGCCATCTTGGAGGCCTCTTGGGCGATCTTGAGTCGATCTTGGAGGCCTTCTGGGCCGTCTTGAGACGTCGGAAAGCTGAAAAGGGGCAAATACCAAAATCTTTCAAGACCAATTGAAAATCTATTATTTTGCCCTCTTCGGGCCTTCCTGGAGCACCTCTTGGAGGCCTCTTGGGCCGTATGGAGGCCTCTTGGGCCGTCTTGGGCCATCTTGAGGCTATCTTACGCCATCTTGGGTACATCTTGGGCCGTCTTGGAGGCATCTTGGGGCCATCTTAGCCGTCTTGGAGGCCATCTTGGCCGTCTTGGAAGCATCTTGGAGGCCATCTTGGGCCGTCCTGGAGCCGTCTGGGGCAGGGAAACCTTTTGCAACTGGCTCTGGAAGATCCTGGGCAATCCTTCCGGGACCCTGGCGGGACGCGCCGGAGCCCCAGGGGGAGTTCTGTTGGAAAAGAACCAAAACCAAAACCGAAATGGTTCAGCACGCCAGGCACCCCTGCGATGAATCGATAGGGGGCGGCGGATCGAAGACTCCTACGGCGAATCACCGCCGCCCTCTTGCCTTTTTGAAAGCGCCTATGTGGCCGAACGTTGAGGCCAGACCTGCCAAGCTATCTGACCGTGTGTTCCCCGAATCGGTTTGGAAAGCCTTCGGGGAACACGTGGGCATCCTGAAGGTCATCTTGGCCGTCTGGAGGCCATTTTGACCCTTTCGGGCCTTCTTGGAGGACGTCTTGGAGGGCTCTTGGGCCGTCTTGGAGGCCATCTTGAGCGTCTTGGAGACCTCTTGGGCCGTCTTGGGGGCCTCTTGGGGCCGTGTCTTGGGCCTCTTGGGCGATTTTTGGGGGCACTTTGGCCGTCTCGGGCCGTCGGAAGGCCGAGAAAAGCAAATGCCACAATCCTTCAAAAACTCAGGTGAAATCAATGATTTTGGCCTTTTCGGGCCTTCCTGGAGGCCCTCTTGGAGGCCTCTTTGGGCCATCTTGGGCCATCTTGGGCCATCTTAGGGCCATCTTCGGCCGTCTTGGTGGGCTCCTGGCCCTTTGACGCCGTCGGAAGCCGTTCGGGGGGCCTCCCTGGGCCGACTTGGGGCCCTCTTGGAATGCTCCAGGGCCGTCTTGGAGGCCATCTTGGGCGTCTTAAGGCCACCTGGGCCGTCTTGGGGGCCTCTTGGGGCCGTTTTGGGGGCCTCTTGGGCCGTTCTGGGGCCATCTTGAAGGCCTCTTGGGCGATCTCTCGGCGATCTTTGGGGGCTCTTGGGCCGTCTCGGGCCGTCGGAAGGCCGAAAAGGGGCAAATGTCAAGATCCTTCAAAAACCTATGGAACATCGATGTTTTTGGCCTCTTCTGGCCTTCCTGGAGGCCCCCTCGGAGGCCTCTTGGGCCGTCTTGGGCCAGCTTCGAGCCAACTTCGGCCATCTTGGTGGGCTCCTGGCCCGTCTGACGCCGTCGGAAGCCGATTGGGAGGCCTCTCTGGGCCGACTTGGGGCATTCTTGGGGTGCTCCAGGGCCGTCTTAGATGCCATCTTGGGTGTCTTGGAGGCCTCTTGGCCCATCTTGGGGCCCTCTTGGGGCCGTCTTGGGGGCGTCTTGGGCCGTCATGGGGCCATCTTGGAGGCCTCTTGGGCGATCTTGGGGCGATCTTGGGGGCCTCTTGGGCCGTCGTGGGCCGTCGGAAAGCCGAAAAGGCGCAAATTCCAAAATCCTTCAAAACCTCAAGAAACATCAATGGTTTGGGCCTCTTGGGGCCTTCCTGGAGGACCTCTTGGAAGCTTCTTAGGCCGTCTTGGAGGCCTCTTGCGGGCCTTTTGGGCCGTCTTAGACCATCCTGAGGCCATCTTGGGCCGTCTTGGATGCATCTTGGGGCCACCTCAGCCGTCTTGGAGGCCATCTTGGCAGTCTTGGAGAAATCTTGGAGTCCATCATGGGCCATCTTGGCCGTCTTGGGACCATCTTGGGCCATCTTGGGACGGAACAGGCATTGACTTGTGCAGTTTCCGGGTGGCCGGCGGGACGCGCCGGAGCCCCAGGGGGAGCTTTTGGAAGAAGAACCAAAACCAAAACCCATATAATTCGGCACGCCAGGCACCCCTGCGATGAATCGACAGGGGGCGGCGGATCCTAGTGGCCTTCGGCCCATCCCGCCACCGTGCATTGGTTGTGGGTCTGAGGCCTCTTGTATGTGTTGGTGTGTCGTGGGGAGCCTCTCGGGGCGTCGTAGAGGCGGTTTGGGCGCCTCTTGGGGGCCTGTTGGGGTCTAGTGGGGTATCTTTTGGGCCTCTTGGAGGCCTCTTGGGCGCGTCTTGGGCGACTCTTGGGGCCTCTTGGGGCCTCTTGGGGGCCTCTTGGGGCCTCCTGGGAGCTTCTCGGGGCACAAATCTATAATTTTCGGTTCGTGGTCCCGTGCTTGGGCCCCTCTTTGGGCCATCATGGGGCCTTCTTGAGCCGTCTTGAGCGCTTCTTAGGCAAGCTCTTGGGCTGTCTTGGGGCGGTCTTGGGAGCTTCTTGAGCCGTCTTGGAGTGTCGGAAAACCGAAAATGCGAGAAGGCCCAGATCCTTCAAAACCTTTCTCGAAAAATCTATTATTTTGACCTCTTGGGGCTCTTTCGGGAGGCCTCTTGGAGCGCTCTTGGGGCCTCTTGGGGTCCTCTTGTGCCGACTTGTAACCATCTTCGGGCGCCTTGGAGCATTCTTGGCTTCGGCAGTGCGAGCATGGTGTAATATGCAAGGGTTTATGGCCTCGGGGACGCGACTATTGTAATTTACAAGGGTTTGTTGCTTCGGGGACGCGCGAATTGGTAACTTGAAAGGGTTTACGGCTTCGGGGACGCGAATATTGTTTAATTTACGCGGGATTATGGCCTCGGGGGCGCGAGTCGCATGTATTGTTACATGTCCCACGCTCCCCCGGGAATGCAGAGAACGCGATCTGGGCGTGGTAACAGGCTGGTTTGGGGCTCCCCCCCCCCCGCGTGGATTTCAATTGTTTACAGTAGGAAGCAGAAAGCAGGACTGTAACATTGGAGACTTACAATTGCAATTGGTGCAGGGAGCAGCTACTTCGTCCTACAGATTGGTGGCCCCACAAGGGGGCTGGCGGATTTTTGGAAGTTAACCCACTGAATCCTCGAAATTGCCGTAAACTCTTAAAACGAATGTGAGCGGCGCTACGGCGAGAATCACATTTTAAATGCGGCCCGCCCCCCCATCCGTGAAATTGTTGGAAACTTTTTAAAACGAGAGGACACGGCGTCAAGGCGAAAGACACATTTTGAAAACCACCCGCCTTCATCCGTGAAAGCCTTGCAAATTTAGGATCAAGAGTGGTAAGAAAGTCTCAAGCGAAACGCCCAGCCCACCCTTTTGACAGGCCTCGGGGTGTGACAGGGAGGAATTATTTCTAAGGAAAAGTAATGGAGGAGGAGGAGGAGGAGGAGGAGGAGGAGAATGAACGTTTGGAGGAGGAAGAAGAGGAAGAGGACGAGGAACGCTTGGAGGAGGAGGGGGTGGTGGATATCTCGGCCGACGGCAATGGCGACGACGTCATCTTGCAGGTCTTTTCGCCGGCCTCGCCCTCGCCTTCGGCGTCGTCGTCGACGACGACGGCGACGGCGATGGCGACGTCGACGAGCGAGGCCGTGCACCCCTCGCATGGCCCATCTGGGCCACTTTTTCGTTCCAGCCGAGTTCTGACGGCCCCCAGACGCAGCGAACGACGCATAGCGCCTCGAGACGTCGAGCCCCGCGGGGGAGGGCTCCAGGACGGTCTCCAGTTCGCCGACTGTGCGGGCATGCCGATCGCAGCCGCCAGCATGACCCAGGCCTCCTCACGGGGCAGCCGCTTCCGCTGCCGCCGCGCTGCTGGCTGCGCCTGGCGTGGTATGGGGAGGAAGACGATGATGATGACGATGACGATGACGATGACGCTGATGATGATGATGATGATGATGATGATGATGATGATGAGGATGATGATGACGATGATGATGATGATGATGATGATGATGATGATGACGATTGTTATGGTGATGGTGATGGTGATGACGATGATGATGATGATGACGACGGAACGGACGATGATGATGCTGATGCTGATGCTGATGCTGCTGCTGCTGCTGCTGCTGATGATGATGATGATGATGATGATGATGATGGGGGCAGTGATGATGGCGACCAGGATTATTATGGCATTGTTGATGATGCTGGTGATGGTGATGCTGATGGTGATGATGTTCAGATGATGATGATGCTGATGATGATGATGATGATGAAGAGGATGCAATCGACGATGCTGATGATGGTGATGATGATGACGGTGATGATGGCGACGACGACGATAATGATGATAATGGTGGTGGTGTGGTGGTGGTGATGATGACGACCAGGATTATTACGTTGTTGTTTATGCTGCTGATGTTGATGAGGAGTACAATGATACTGGTCATGATGGTGAGGAGGATTATGACGACGACGACGAGGACGAGGAGGAGAAGCAGGATGAGGAGGACGACGACGACGATGACGATGACGATGATGATGCTGCTGCTGCTGATGATGATGATGACGCTGCTGCTGCTGCTGCTGATGATGATGATGATGATGATGATGATGCTGGTACTGCTGATGACGATAGTGACAATGACTATGACCATGCCATTGATGATGATGGCTGTGAGAAGGGGAGGATGAGGAGAAGGATGCGGCGGGTTAGGGCGATGATGCTGATGATGATGGTGCTGCTGATGATGATGATGCTGATGATGATGCTGATGATGATGATGATGATGATGAGGATGGATATGATGCCAGGATATGACACCAGTGCTGTTTATGTTGATGATGATGTTGATGCTGACGATGATGATGATTATGACGTTGATGATAATGATGCTCACGATTATGATAATGATGATGATGGTGATGGTGATGATGATGATGATGATGCTGATGATGATGATGATGATGATGATGCTCACGATTCTGATAATGATGATGATGCTGATGATGCTGATGCTTATGACGATGGTGATGATGATGATGATGATGATGATGATGAGGATGATGATGACGATGACGATGATGATGACGATGATGAAGATGCTGATGCTGCTGATGATGATGACGGTGATGGTTATGTTGATGTGGATGCGGGTGGTGGTGATGATGATGATGATGATTATGATGATGCTGGCGGCGACGATGATGCTGCTGCTGGTAATGGGAATGATGATACTGCGGATGATAATGCTGCTGGTGGTGATGCTGGTGATGATGATCCTGCTGCGCTGCTGCTGATGATGCTGGTGATTCTGGTGGTGATGGTGCTGCTGCAGCTGCCTTTTCTGATAATGCTGCTGATGATGATGCTGACGATGATGCTGATGATGATCCTCATGATGATGCTGCTGCTGATGATGGTGCCGATAATGATGATGATGACGATGATGATGATGCTGATGATGATGACGATGATGACGATGATGATTATGATGATGAGGATGATGATGCTGCTGCTGATGCTGATGATGGTGATGCTGATGGTGGTGATGATGATGACGATGATGTGATGGTGGTTTTGATGATGATGATGATGATGATGATGGTGGTGGTGGTGGTGATGATGATGATGATAATGCTGTTGTTGATGATGATGATGATGAGGAGGAGGAGGAGGAGAAGGAGGATGTTGAGCAGGAGGATGAAGAGCACGTGGAGGAGGATGAGGAGGCGGATCATGATGATGATGCTGCTGATGATGATGATGATGAGGAGGAGGAGGAGGAGGATTCGGATGAGGAGTTGGAGGAGGAGGAGGAGGAGGAGGAGGAGGAGGAGGAGGATGAGTTGGAGGACGAGGAGGAAGAAGAGAAGGGTGGAGGAGGTTAATGTGGATGGGTCGGTCGATCGGTCTCGGCGTTTGAGCGAAGGGAGTGACCCCAGTCCTGAGAGGTGAGGGTGTTTGGAGAAGAGGAGGAGGGAGGAGAAGGGAGGAGGAGGAGGGAAGGGGACGAGGAGGAGCAGGGGGGGGTGGGAGATGGGAAGGAAGGATATCCAGCTGCCTCTGGCAATTTTTCTATCGTGCCAGCGCAGCATTCATTTTGGGTGGCAACTGTTCGAGAAGGTAAGGGGGCCTGCTGCATGCCTCTTGGGGCAGTATTCCAGATTCTAGGCCGACGCGCGCGACGAGGCGCCCACCGCCAGAGCAGTTCCGTCAAGGTTGCCAGAAGGTCGCCGCCGTTCACGAGCGCTTCCCAGACTTTGGGGACGCACCTGCTGAATTTACGCTGCTGCGGTCCTGCGCGGGCGTCTGCAGTGTCACGCACGTGCAGCGGTCTGTTGGCCCCGATATCAGCGCTCGCGGAGTTCGACGACGTCATAATGGCCGCGCTGAGCCTTCGCGACTAACTTCGCGAGTGGGGTTCCCCCCCTCCCGCGTCTCCAGGCTGGGTTGCCCATGAGCCAGGCTGGGCTTAGCCTCGCCTCGGCGGTCGAGTTGGCCACCGCCGCTTTCGTGGCAGCTCGCAAGAAGGCCCAGCCGATGGCCTGCTACCTGCTGGACGGGCTTGCTGGGGTCGTGGGGGACCTCCCGGCGTTCTTCGAGGGCCTCGGGGCGCTCGACGAGTCTCTCCGTGCCGCAGGCGGCGAGCCTTAGCTCCGCTGCGTTGCTGGGCTGGGGCGCCCATCCGCAAACCGTCGGTGGGTCCGCAGTCTCCGCGCCGCGCACCTGCCAGTCCTCAGCGCCGCCAGGTGCGTCGATTCCCTTACCCTTCGCCTCGGGATGCCCCTGGCCCCCGAGAGTACGGAGTGCTCTTATGTGGCGAGTTCATGGACCGGGGCGGCGTGCACCCGCAGACCTGCGCTCAGGGCGCCGCCGCTCGGGGCCATTACCGCGTGCGCCACCGCGTGCACTTGCTAGCTGCTCTGGGCGACCCAGAGGCAGCCCCAGAGTCCTTCGGCCTCATGCACTCTCGTCCATAGCTGCGCCTAGCTGACATTTTCGCGTCGGCTGCCCACGGCTGGCTCGCAGCGCTGGACAGAGCGGAAGCCGCGGGCGCTGGGCTGGACTGCTGCGCTGCAGTGGTCCACCGCAAGCAGCAGGCGTACTCGCCGTTCTTCGGTGAGCTGCGGCAGCACGGCGTGCGGTGCCAGCCGATGGTGTGAAGCAGCAACGGGAGGGCCCACGTGGATACCGAGCACGCGCTGCAGGGATTGGCCCGCGCCGCGGCGCGGCGGCCCGGCATCCTGGATCGGCGGCCGCTGCTGCAGCGCACGCGCGCCGCCGTCTCCGTGGAGCTCCAGCGGCGCTTGGGGGGCCAGCTCCGCCGCTGCTTGCCGGAGGAGCCGCCGAAAGGCGCAGGGGCTTTGACGCCTTGCCCGTGCCGCGGACGCGCGTGGCCGAAAACGAGGAGCAGACCGCGCTCGCAGGCGCGCCTGGCGGCGTGGTGGCGCCCTTGACGGACGGGGCCATGGCCGTCGCGGCCATTGTGCCAGGGCTGAACGGGACGGCCAGGCTCGCCCCCGCGGGAGCCCAACGGCGAGGCTGGCGCGGCGACTGGACCGGGCACGGGCGTGGTCGTGGGCGACGCTGACCTGCTGGCCGCTTTCGCAGAGTTGGCCGGCTCGGCCGGCGGCGCTGGGGGAGACGCAGCGATGGCCGCCAGGGCTTGCCCTGCCAGCGACGCAGCGTTGGGCGGCGCGGCCGGTCTGGGCGGCGCCGGAGACGCGGCCGTGGCCTTGGGGGCCCGCGGCAGCGGAGGCGGGGCTCGAGACTTACCCGGCTGCTGGCGCTGGCGCAGCCAACCCTGTCGACGCCGCGACGGCTGGCAGCTCTGGGGGCGCGGCCGCCGCCTTGGAGGCTGCAGCAGCGGTTGCCGCAGCTGGCGCGCCGCTCGGAGATCGGGGCTCCGCGTCCGGGCGTTGCGGCTCATTTGTGGGCGCGGGCCGTGATGAGTGAGGTGCGCGCTTCTTGGGCGCCCCCCCAAAACAGAGAACCGAATTTCGTGTTCCCGCAGGGGGCACTTTTTGGAGTCGTCTTGGGGCCCTCCTGGGCAGTCGTGGGTGCCTCTTTGGCCGTCTTGCAGCTCTCTTGGGCTGTCTTAGAGCTTTGCTGGGGGCCTCTTGAGCCGTCTCGGGGGAGTTTTGGGGGCCTTTGGGCTCGAATTGTCGGTTCGCGTTCGCCCTTTTGGGTCGTTTTTGGGGCCGTCAGCCCTGAGAGCGCGAGGGAAGGAGGAGCAGGGAGGGGGAGGGGGAGGGAGGAGGAGGGGGGAGGAGGTAAGGGGGCGCACAGGAAGGGGGGAAACGAGAAGAACCAAATATCGTTTAGGGGTTTCACGTGTCAGGGCAAGGAGGGGGAGGGCGACAACTGCGCGCAGCAGGGCTGAGGGGGACATGGCGAGGAAAAGTGTGGCGATCCTGGCGGCGGCGGCGGCGACGGTGGTCACGGCGACGGCGATAACGACGGCGAGCTCTCCTCCCCCCCCTTGGGGCGCCGCCTGGCCAAACCCCGAGGCAGGTGTAGCCGCGGCGACGCGCGCGCCCCCAGAGGTCCACGAGCGCCCCAACCGCCCCAAAGCATGGCAGCTTTAGGGCCTCGATGACTGCGGCGGCCGCGACGGCTGGCGACAGCGGCGGCCACGACGACGACGGCGACGACGGCGTCGACGACGGCGGCCAGGCTGGCGGGATCCTGGGCTCGCCAGCGCCGGAGCTGGACATTGCCACCGCCAACGGCGAGGCGCGCCGCCCGTTGGACGACGCCGCCGGCCTTCGTTGTCGACGACGTCAGCGAGATGATGACGAGCGACGGACAACGGCGACGGACGGTGGCGACGCCGAAGGCCGCCGAGGGGCGCCGAGGGTGGCTGGGAACCGCCGAGGGCTGTCGGTGTCGTCGTCGTCCGCCGCTGCTGCATGTGTGCGGCATGTCGTGGGCGATTGCGGCGCAGCGCGAAGGGGGGCCCGCGCGCGCGGGGACGTCAAGCGCGCGCAATACGGGCCCGCGCTTGACATGTGTGTGATGTTTGACCGACGCTGCGGGCGGCGCGACGGCCACGCGCCGCGTCGCTGCGCAGGTACGCAGAGTTAGTAATGGCTGACGCGGCGCGATTGTCATGACAGGCGCCACGCTTGTTGTGCCGCACTTGGGCGAGCTGCCGCCAGCCGCCAAGTGCGGCAACGCGCGCGCGCGCTTCTCGTTGGCGTCGCGCGCTGTCGCGCGCGCTCGCGTCAGGATTTTGCAGGCATTCCAGGCCAGGGTCGGTGGCTATCCCATGGGGGAAGGCGGAGGAGGTGGGCCTTCTCATGAGGCTCGGATAGCGTCGGGCCTTTTGAGAATTTCCTGACACAGAAAGCTTTTCGAAACGCGCGAGGACTTTTGAGGAACCCCGCCGCCTTCTGAAAAGGCCCGTTCCGTCTCGTTTGCCCCCGTGGGCTCGCCGCCGACATGGAAGATGATCAAGTCATGGGTTTGGGGATGCTCAGCGCAACTCTGGGTGCTTGTGCGTCGGCGAGTCGTACTATTCCGGCTGGGCGACGCAGGGAGCACAGGCTGCCGCCGTGCCGCGGCGCAACGGCGCCGCGCGCGTTCGATCACCGGTGCCCACTGCATTGGCTTTGGGTCGGCAACAGTCCCACGGGGAAGTGAAAAGAGGAAGGCCTTCTCAGATGGCGGCGCGGCTCCTCGGAGACCCTCTCGCTTTCTGAAAATCTTTCTGCGCCTTCGGGGAAGGCTCAGGAAGCTCTTCAGAAGGCCACAGGCCCTCCGAGCCTCCTGAAAAAGGCCCGCCCCGTCCGACTTCCCAGCTGGGCTCGCCGCCGATCTGGGCCGAGCTCGCGGAGATGTGTCGCCTGGCACAGCGGGTGCCGACTGACGGAACCATCGTTGACCGCTCATCCCGAAGAGCATTCGGGCTGCCGCGGTAGTTGCGCTTTTTGTTTTTTGTTTCCCCCCCCACCTTCGCTTCCGCAACTCAAGTTTGAGGTGCCAGTCCTAAAGGGCCTTCGGTCAGCATCTTCATGTGCTGCACTTCCCTCTGGGCCTCCCCATCGTTCGCTTTCTTGCCAACAAGAACAAATAGGCTGCCATCCTGGAGCAGACGCGCCGCTTTCGGGGGCGGGTGCGAACGCCATGGTTGTCGGTGGCGTGCCAATCGCTGAGCGTTTTGTCGGTGCAGCCGCGGCGCGGATCGCGCGCGTTGTGGGCGCCGCGCGGTGCCCAGGAAGCTAAGCCGGCATGCGCCAAGAAGTACTAATTCTTTCGTGTGGCCGTAGGCAAGAGTCTGGTGAGCATGCTGGCAGCTTGCGAGTTGCAGCGTGAAGTGATTTCGGCGCAGTCTCGGCCGCGCAATTCCCTTTGCGGGCGTGCCCGGGCGCCATCGCAAGAGTTCGCTCGCAGGATCTGTTGGAGAACGGTTCTCCTCTGGCCGAGATCTTGGCAGCACCTCTCCTCCGCTCCTCCTGATCCCATTCGGCCCTTTCTCGGCCCTTTCTCCGCTTCTCCATCGTCCTCCCCCTGTCTCTCCCGCTTCCCTCCCCTTCCTCTCCTCCCGCTCCCCAGCCTCTCCTTCCTTCCTCCAGTATCCCTCCTTCCCCCCTCCCCTCCTCCTTCTCGACCCCTCCTCTTTCTTTCTCTTCATTCCTCCTTTTTTCCCGGAAAGGGCATGAGCCCAGGGTTCTCTTTTAGTTGGTAAACCTGTCCCCCGGTGCCAACTTGAGGGAGGCCGGCGAATTTTTTCCCTGATAAATATCGAGGTCGAAGGAGGCCGGCGAATTAAAATTTGAGGATGTCTCGAGCGAAACGCTTGTTTTTGAAATCCCGATCGATAAATCACAGGGTGCGGGCCACTTTTTCGTGTGTTGAGGATGTCTCGAGCGAAACGCTTGCTCCGCAGAGTTTGCCGAGGATGTCTCGAGCGAAACGCTTGTTTTGCAGAGCCGACCGCGACGCGGAAAAGCGCCCCGCGCGAAGGAATTTCGATGATGTCTCGACTAATTCCTTTGTTTTTGTACGATTTCCTGGAATTTTGGCAGGATGTCTCGAGCGAAATGCACGACCCCACCCTAGCACGACCATACCCCAGCACGACCACACCCCAGCACGACCAGACCCCAGCACGACCCCACCCCAGCACGACCCCACCCCAGCACGACCACACCCCAGCACGACCCACCCCAGCACGACCCTACCCCAGCAAGACCACACCCCAGCACGACCACACCCCAGCACGACCTCACCACAGCACGACCACACCCCAGCACGACCACGCCCCAGCACGACCAGCACCCCAGCACGCCCCAGCCCCAGCACACCCACCCCAGCACGACCACACCCCAGCACGACCACACCCCAGCACGACCACACCCCAGCACGACCACACCCCAGCACGACCCGATCGATAAATCACAGGGTGCGGACCACCCCAGCACGACCACACCCCAGCACGACCCCACCCCAGCACGACCCCACCCCAGCACGACCACGCCCCAGCACGACCACACCCCAGCACGACCACACCCCAGCACGACCACACCCCAGCACGACCCCACCCCAGCACTAGCACGACCACACCCCAGCACGACCACACCCCAGCACGACCCCACCCCAGCACGGCACGACCACACCCCAGCACGACCACACCCCAGCACGACCCACCCCAGCAAGACCACACCCCAGCACGACCACACCCCAGCACGACCTCACCACAGCACGACCCCACCCCAGCACGACCACCGCCCCAGCACGACCACGCCCCAGCACGACCACGCCCCAGCACGACCACCCCCCAGCACGACAGCACCACACCCCAGCACGACCACACCCCAGCACGACCACACCCCAACACGACCATACTCCAGCACGACCACACCCCAGCACGACCACACCCAGTCGCACCCCCGTGGAATGTTTCGTGGGGTGTCTGGTTGAGTGGTTGCCTGTTCGTGGGGTGTCTCGTGGAATGTTTCACGGGGTGTCTCGTGGAATGTTTCGTGAGGTGTCTCGTGGGTTGTTTCGTGAGGTGTCTCCTGGGATGTTTCGCGGGGTGTCTCGTGGGATGTTTCGTGAGGTGTCGCCCAGTTGGATATCGTGAAAACGTGACCATGCTGCACATGTCTATATCCCTTTCCGGGTTCGTGGGTCCATCATGTTCCCCTCCTCCTCCTCCTCCTCCTTTGATTTCCTTTGCTCACGCCATTCCGCCGACCCCCAGTGGAGTAGAGACGTCCAGGGCGTTCATTAGGCTATGTTGGAGCTGGAGTGGTTGGGTGTTTTTTCACGCTGTCGAGGGTGCAACTCTCAGGTTTTTTTTTGCTGGCTTTTAGGAGCATCTTGATCAACGTTCTGCGGGATCCGAGCGTTGCGAAGTCATCTGCCGAAGCCTTCTGCGAGCAGACGGGCTCGGAGGGCGACGCTGCCGTCACCGAGTCCGCCCAGCATTCGAATGAACGGATGATGCAAGCATTCTCCTTCGCCGCCGACCGCGTTCTTCCTGAGACGAAGCTGCTGCTCAGGAGGCCTCGGATCTCGTCGGGCACCTTTGCGCTCATCGAAAAGCGCAACGCCGCTCGCGAGCAGGGGTCGCATGGGGAGGAGTGCGAGCTCGCCAGGCAGGTCCGGGCATCTGTGAAATCAGATAGGTCGCAGTGGTTGGAGAGCAGCCTCGCCACGGGGGAGTGGGCGCCGATCCGGCAGCTCCAGAAAGGCGCAGCCTCGAAGCAAGGCCGGCTCGCGAACTCGAGCGGAGAAATCGTGGACTCGGACCAGCGCGCCGACACTCTGGCACAGTATCTCGCCCAAGTTCACTGGGCTGCTCGGCCGACGACAGTCGCCGAATTCACAGACAGCTTGGGTCCTACATTACTTGTGACGTGTGATCCCATCACCGAAGACCAGGTGTTGGCAGCGGCTGCCAAATTGAAGAGGGGAAAGGCCGCGGGCGCAGACGGAATTCCAGGCGGGTTCTGGGAATCGATTTGCACTCCAGGGACCCCTGCTTGCAGGTGGGCGGTGTCATTGTGCAAAAAGTGCTGGGAAGAACGCGTGGTCCCTGACGCATGGTACAAAGCGCTGGTCACGGCTATCTTCAAAAAAGGTGGTGTTGCAAAGTGTGAAAATTATCCCCCAATTAGCTGGATTTCGATTGGGTCTAAGATGTTCGCGGCAATTATTTTGAACCGTCTGAAGGCAGCTGTTGCTGAACAGAGAGTTCGGAGCACCCAGTGCGGTTTCAAGAGCAAGCACGGGGCAACGGACGCGATCTTCCTCGGTCGTCGTTTGCTTGAACGCACTTGGGCTGAAAAAAAAGGGCTACTGGTTTTGCTGGCTTTGGACTGGGAAAAGACCTTTGACAGTGTGTCGCCCGATGCTTTATGCCTCTCGTTGGAGCGGTTCGTTGTTCCCACCCACTTCATACAAGTTGTGCGTGCCATATGCACAGATAATACTTTTTCTCGGAAAGGGCATGGGCCCAGGGTTCTCTTTTAGATGGTCTTCCCCCCGGTTTTTACTTGAAGGGGGCCGGCGGAATTCTTGTGCGATAAATTACGAGGTCGAGGGGGGCCGGCGGATTTCAGTTGTGAGGACGAAGGCCATTTTTCGCCACCCCTCACGCAGATCGCGCTCTTGGAATTTTACTGCCTTTAAGGAAACCTCGATATTTCACAGGTGAAGTCCACTTTTTTCCGACATCGATTTTAAACGATAAAAAACGAGGTAAGCGCGTTCGCTCGATAAATAAC